TCACTAGCCAAGAAAGCAGCCAACCAAATACTTTTTGGAAGGCCTTTCTATTGGCCTGACAAAATCGGTAGTAGAACATTCCCTTGTGAAATTCAAGGAGAGATAGGATGAAACAAGAAACTGCAGAGTTGCCAGGGAGCTCTTAAGTTATCCTGACAATACTGTAGCAAGCAAATACTTGACTGTAACTAGACAGAATCTGCGTGTAGTCACAGGCATTTTGACTGGTCTTTGCCAAGTATGAAAGCATCTCCATATCATGGGGCTGTCAGAATCCGCACTTTGCAGAGGGTGCGAACAAGAAGATGAGACCATCGAGCATATCCTCTACGATTGCTCGACGCTCTCATTTATTAGAAGATTTGTGTTCGGCGAGTATCGCCTAACACCGGCAGATATAAGAGAAGCACCTCTTGGCGACGTTGTCAACAACATTAAGTCTGTAGGCTGGCTTACGAGCTATAAAGTGCCTATCTACTCAGGAGGATGCACAATGGGCCTAATGGGGCCTAAGTGCCGTGGGGGTAACCCACCCTCCACACGTTAAGGCGGGTACAGATCTGAGCACGTACGCGTATGAGGCAAGCCGAGGACGCATGAGCATGCAGATGTGGACGGGCTGTCGAGGCGCGGCAATTGCCTCGTTGTGTGCGCCAAACGGCCTCGCCTCGATCCATTTGTTGGCGGTACATCAAAGGGAGGCAGTGCGCAGGACGTGCTCAGTCTGGACGGGGAACTTGTACCATGCAGCACCGTACAGATTATAGCGAGTTTTTAAGATTTATTTTGCATGAAGTGGGACCAGTAAAACGTTTTACTTCTCCTGGATTTAAATGATCAGCGTGATATCTTAAGAGAGCAAAGCGCTAGTTCTATTACAACACCATAAAAAAGAATATCCTTGGCAGGAAATCGTCCATCGATTTTATTCTTTTCTTTTTTCTTTAATATGTCGGATAAAATAATAAAACATGCACTCAACTCCGCGACATCATCCTCATTCTTCATTTTTGTTTTAATTTTACGAATGTTCTGGGTATACGGTTGCGTGCTCGCGAATTTACTGGATCAGTGGCGAACAGCGCCTCGTGCGTCCACCATTCGTGTATACAAACTGCATCGCACGAGGCATTCGGTTCGGCCTCGGCTTGCCTCATACGCTTACGTGCTCAGATCTGTACCCGCCTTTACAGATACAGAAACAAACGTTAAAAATTAAATTGATATCGTATGGAAAAAAAATTGTATCATCTGCAAAGTAATAATGAAATTAAAACGTCCAAAAGATCATACTACACAAGCGCATACACATACAGAATGGTTCTGTATTGTTGTTGGAACAAACCCTATAGCTAATAAGAAGTAATACTTCCTTCATAACAATATTTATCATTAAAATATAATACATTCATTTAATATTTAACACGCAGGTGCCTGCAAAATTCGCCTTTAAAGTAAATGTCACATGTATCACTGGATAAAGGTATACTTATACTTCCTTATTATTAGTAATTGCATTAGTATTATGATTAAGGATTAAGTTGAACCCTCACAATGTAATGGGGCCATTTATAATTGATTTTTGATTATTATTAGCATTAATATTCATGCTTAATAATATTTGGTCCAGCTTAATGCTTAATCATAATACTAATATAAATACTCATACTAAGGGAGTATAAGTAGACCCTTAGACAATCCAAATCACGTGACTTTTTGACAGATACATTGGTGGATGAATGGCAAATACTCTACAAATTAATTAATTACAGTAGAATAATCCTTTAGATAGTTTAATCTTCAAATCAAAGATCAACCGCTCTAAAACACAATTTTCGCAAGTGTGTCGTGATTTCTAGTGAAAACATTCAAACTAATGATTAAAAAGTTAGGTTAGTATGTAATTACTATAGATAACGAATTGACAATTACTGAAAAAATATATAGAATATGAAAATATAGTAAATCTAGATTCAATTCTTTTGTTTTTTTAATTTTCTTTGTCTAATAACTGAAATATTGGCTGGGCGGAAAATCTAAAACGCTTTATATTTTGAAAAACTGGCAACGATGTTCACTAAATTGGAATAAATTTTCAAATTCTATGCTAAGTAACATAACTTTAAACAGCTTAAAATTGTTATCTTATTTTTAAATTTAAAATAAGATATCCCTTGTAGGTTCAGGTGTACATAATAGACGGTGTTCAATAATGAATGGAACATAGAACAACTGAAGATTCTCTTAAAATTATGACGATTAAACGAAACATGCTTACTCTTTAAAGTTGAAAATTCAAAAATTATTAATGGCTATAATTTTGTTATTATTCAGTATAATTTTACTAAATTCGGTAAACGTTTTTGATGTAAAAAGATACACCTATCAGTCAAAAAACAGTTAAATAATCTTTTCCAGTGGCGTACGGCACGGGTAAGTAACAACTTCATTAGTTTACTGGTCTTATGTTTAATCAAAATCTTTAGTTGTTCTATGTCCCATTCTTAATGGAACACCCTGTATATGAAAACGCGAACTTATAATTATTTTGATGACTTCCTGTATGAAATTACAGCTTACGCTCACGTCATTGACTTTATACATGTACAATGTATTTGATATTGGATTACTTCATTTAAATATGGGTCGCATATATTTCATAAATCCATCTGTTTGAAATGTGATAAATCTCAGATATTTATGGTGCTAAAAACTAATTTCTAACGCGCAATAAAATTCTAATTGTTTTGTTAGTTTTTAGTCACTGTGACCTTAGCGATCCCTATCACTGCCATAAAAAATACATAAAAAACACTTGTGTACCATTGAAAAGAAAATCAAATTTGCTACGCAAAACTTTAGAATCTGAATCTGGTGGCTTTGAGGACATGAAACGTTGCATAGAAACTTTAATAACACAGGATTATAGTGTTTATCAATTGAATAAAAAAATTGATTTGGCATTTTTAAAAATAAAGGTGCTATAGTCCTTATGAAGTTATATTTTAATTTCCTATCTGTATACAGATAAGGAAAGTATAGGAATCATGATTGTTTCAACCTTGAGTTATCGACGGATTTTTACGTTTTGGGGTCCCCTGAATCCGTTTTGACTATTTTCACGATACAAAGAAAAACACAAAATTTTAAACGTAAGCTTTATTCCAGCCTGCGGTGAAATAATTAGATTTTGGGCAGTGTCGGAACATCTGAGGGTTACTTTAAAGAGAGTCGTTTTTAAATTTTATGGAATATATCTGTTATTTACGTTTGGAGAAGAAATATCTTTAAATATCAGTTACTTCTAATATTAATCTCAATAATTTTTGCCTCATACAAAATTTTTCTAAAATGGTCCGTATTCGAAAATTTGACAAAATGTGGAAAATTTTAATTTATAAAAAAATTGTTAAACTTAAAGTTGTTTGCGATGTCGATATCTATATTTTTTGTTTAATGATTTCTCTAAAATGGACCGTAATGGAAAAATTTGAGTAAAACTTAAAATTTTCAGTATTTTATGCCTATATAAAAAAATGTTTCGAGTTAGATGTATGTGGAAACTGTATATATTTAATTTATTCTAAACATTTACAGAGGTGATACAATAGGTTGTACAAAATAACCGGAAATTTTCCAAATTAATTAATTTTTGGATTAAATTGAACTAATGTTTTTTTATATTTTTAAGCTATTCTTTTTTTGTAGGTCACCCTGTTTTCAGTAGCTGCATATTTTTATGCTACAAAAGAAATACATACAAAATTTTTCTTGTATTATTTCTTAACTAAGTACTTTTAAAAACCTACTCTAAAATCGAGCAGATGTCATTGAATTCAGGTTGCTGATTATCTATATTATAGATCTTAACCAAATGTATATGGGACCACCCCTGAGGTTACCCCCTTACTAACAAAAAAAGAATCATAGAAATTGAACAAGGTGGTAAAGAATTATCGCTAACATACCTAAAAAATTACAATTTTGAGGATTTTCTCATAGACCTAATTATTTGATTTTGACTAAATTTATATGAGACCACCCCTGAAGTATCCCTTACTAACAAAAAAAGAATCCTATAAATCGGACAAAGTGGTAAAGAATTATCGCTAAACATACATAAAAAATGAAGAGTTTGATGATTTTCTCATGGACCCATTATTAGATTTTGACCAAATTTATATGGGACCACCCCTGAGGTACTCCATTTCTAACAAAAAAGAATCATAAAAATCGGACAATATGGTAAAGAATTATTGCTGAACATACATTAAAAAAAGAATATTCCGACAAATTGAGAACCCCTTCCTTTTTTGAAGTCGGTTAAAAAAGAAATCGGACAATGTGGTTAAAAATTATCGCTGAACCAGTGGTGGCTCGTGACCAAAATATTGGGGGTTCACAATGACAGAATATAGATCTTAGTAAAGATTTACGTAAAAACTTTCAGTGTTTATATTATACCTTTCTAAAACAGTTTTTTACCTAAATCGGTACTGAGATCTATAATATGTCCCCTCAATATTTCAGTTACACGCTGAATATACATTAAAAAAATATTGCGACGAATTGAGAACCTCCTCCTTTTTTTTTAAGTCAGTTAAAAATTATGTTCACTTAATTTTTTAACTTTTTGATCCAAACACAGAGAAAACAAAAAATGGGATGCAGATATACTCCGCTCGGTAGGTACCTACTGGTTTCAAAAACTAAAAATCGGCCTGTTTCAGTATTTTTTTAATTAATTCGTTTTTGGAATAAATTTAAATTCTGCCTTTACCTTATATGGACACACTGTATACAATAACCAATAAACACTACAGTTTAGTTTTATTTTCCTCGTATATAATTCGTAAACGGTAAATTAAAATAAAAAATCGACCAGTTACAGTATTTTTTTTTTTTTTTTTTCGAAAACAATACGTTTTTGGATTAAATTGAATTTCTGCTTTTACTTTATATGAACACAGTGTATAAAATAACCAATACAAACTACTTACCATCACTATAGCCGTAACATAATCCCACAGAAAGTCCAACAAACACAACTAGATACACGACATTACATCTCATCATGTCCACGCGAGTTTTTCATTAAATGCACTACAACTACACCACTTCCAATAATTCTTCTATTATTATCCTTGATACAGGACTACCAAGTTTGATCGATGAATTACCAATATTTCAAATTGATTCTCGGTATCCTGTTCTATTCAAAAGCTTCTTCCCTTATAGTTCAGCAGCTCTGAAAAAGAAATTAAAAACACGTGTTAGGATACAAGGAAGCAAAATCGTAAAAACGTTTTACAAATATAATTTAATTTTGTATAATATATAACACTATATAGTATTTTTAAGCAAAAAAATAGTTGTACCTATTCAGGAGTATAAATTTGGATTACACCTAAATATACTGTCTAGTTTTAAGATTGCACGTGGTCTAAATGAACAGCTGAGAAAGTATGTGTCTGTGTCTCCAAGTAAGGCATAAGGGCAAAACTACGCAGTCAGTACAGTGTAGAACTTTGTGGAAGGGTCTCTTGGTCAACAAACTGCGTAGGGGGAATTCAATAGGGTTCTACTTGCTATCTAGATACCATTTCGAGGGGTTGAAACGCTCGTTTCAATATACAAGGTGTTTCGAAATTATCATAATAATTTTTTTTTTATTACGATGTAAGAATGAAATGTTGAATTTTTTTTTAATTACGAGAAGTTTTAGTGTACCGAAATAGTAGTTTGTGCAACAAGAGTGGATATGGACAATACACTCCAATTGTACAGTATATTTTTTCTACGACCCACTAAACGAAAATCTACAAATATTAAAAATTATTTTATAATTAATTTAAAAATAATTTATGACTTTTACTAATGTATAAAATAAAATGAAAAAAAAATTCATTTTATTTTTCTCCATCTGAGATTTGAACTCGAGTCTTCCGTATGGAAGGCAAAAACGCTGGCCACAGGACCATCTACGCATTTATTTTTTTTTTGCTTTAATACTCCTAATTAAATTAACCTCATATAGTTTTATTTAAATTAACAAATTATTTATAATTATAGCCGAAATAAAAATAGAAATTCTATTATTTATCGATTCTACATAATAATAACTCATTTTAATGTATGTTTAATCTCAATAACTAAAAAAATATACTGAGTATTAGTTTGACAGAATTGTCACTTATTTAAAATTTTAAAAATAATAGCAGTCGGTTGATCAAAACATGAACTGTGATTGGTGGATTTCATTTTTTTGCAGTGTTCTCACTACCTAGAATGGACATGAAATATATTCGTTCAGTTGAAGGCAATAACATACTTTTTCGTTTTGTAATCTGTGCGTAGATAAGCTAATATCCATGTAGGTGTAGAAAAAAAACTTTTCGTGAGTATTTATTGTCCTATTTTTTTTTTTTGGCCTATGCAATTTACCCTGTATAATATGTTTCTGACAAAACAGCAGCACGGTTTCATGGCAAAAAAATCTATACAGTTTCCGATTTAGCTTGGCTTTACTCAATTATTTACCTACTGCAGAATTTCTCGACTCAGTAGGTCAAGTAGATTAGGAAAGGAAATAGAGTAATAGAGTAGATGTACCTATGAAAAATTAGAATAAAACTACAAATTGGTATGTTGGTCCAAATTGATGTCCTGATGTTCCCTTTCATTTACTCCCGAGCTATCTGGTTTGCATTTAAGGGTGTTTTGAGTAAACTGTTCAAAATATAATAGTTAAAAGCCTAAGTTCTCAAGTTAGGCAACTTATTAATATGTGCGAAAATGCAAAAGATATGTGGGTTAAACTATTAGGAATATATGAACAAAGGACAGAGTAATGACATGATCGCCTATTTAAAATGTTTTTTGGTATAAAAGAAAAGGGGTTTAAAGACGGTATAGCCAAGCATATTGCGAGCCTCGAGAAAATTTGGGTTGAATTACAGGATGAAACCCTGGGAAGAGGACAAAGAGAAGCTACCAGAATCTTTGTTCCTGAATAGGGTCCTTAATACTTTACCATCTAAATATTTTGAATTTGTCAACGCATGGGAGTCTGTTCCAAAAGAACAGAGAAATATAAATCTTTTAAAAAAACGACTCTATACTCTGGAAATACGTTTGAACGAGCGAAATGCAGATGCAGCTGACGCTTCAAACAACTCAGTCTTATATGTATCTAGAAGGAAGCCTCACGTTTCTAGCAGTAGCAGATGTTCCAAAGAAATTCAAAAGTAAATTCAAATGTTATCGCTGTGGCGTTAAAGGCCATTTTAAAAAGGATTGTCTGAAGGAAAAAGAAGTCAAAGAAAATACATTAGTTGGGTCAGCCTTTGTCTCAATCTTCGATTTTCTCTCTAATTTGCTAATTTACATGATAGCAGATTCTGGAGCGACTGAACATATGACCGTGAACAGAAATTGGTTTTCAACTTTAGAATATTTTACCACTCCCCAATATGTATTAGTTGGAAGCGGTCAAAGAATGCATGCATTGGGAAGAGGAAATATTAATGTTGAGATGCAAGTATACAATAAATGGGTACAAAACTACTTGGAAAATGTTTGGTATGTACCTGATATTGGTAGAAATCTTTTTTCGTTGCCATCTGTTGTAAACAACGGAATGTATACGTCTTTAGAAACGGATATGTGTAAGGTTTTCAGAAATAAAGACGTGGTAGCAGAAGGAAGCAGAAAAAATGGACTTTACTTAATGCACATGTAAGTTTTGATCTCTAAAAACAATGCAGAAGCCCTTATTGTCTCATCAAACAGCCTTCAGTTATGATATGAACGTTTAAGTCATCAAAATAAGCAACACGTTAAACGTTTTTTATCGCAGTTAGGAATAGATATTCAAGTAGATAAGGAATTCTGTGATGCATGCATGTATGGCAAGAAACATTGAAAAAGGTTTCATGAGAGATCAAAAAGAGCTGAGCGACCTGAAGAATTGATCTATATCAATATTTGCAGTCTGATGCCTGCGAAGTCCTTTCCACGTTATTTCATCATTTTCAAAGACGATTTCAGTAAGTTTCACACAAATCGGAGGCTAAAGACAAATTTAAAGCCTTTTTGGTAACATCAAAAGCACTAGGACACACTATAAAAGAAGTAATGGTAAATGGTGGAAAAGAAATTGATACTAAAGCGTTCAAACAAATTATTGAAGCACAGGGTATTAATTGTAGAATTATGATGCCATATTCACCTGAACAGCTGGGTGGTGTAAACCGAGAAAATCGTACTTTGGTGGTGTCAGCAAGAAGTATGTTTCATGAAAAGAGTTTTCCTGAGGAATTATGGACAGAAGCTGTAAACACAGCCTATGTTATCAACAGAAGTGGCCCAACGAGAGTAGAAAACCAGACGCCGATATTTCTTTGGATGGGGAAAGTTTTTGGAACATAATGCTTTGTTCATGTGCCAAAACAGACGAGGAACGAAAAAATGAAAGGGATTTTTGGTTGGTTATTCTGGTAATAAAGATGGATTTAGAATATGGTTTCCTCACAAAAGGAATGTTATTCTAAACATAGATGTTATCTTTAAAAATAAGGAAACAGACAAAGATTCAGTTGTGTTTTACGACAATTTTAAAATCTCAGACAACCCAGATATTCCTCATCTCCCATCATACCAAGCAAACAATTGGCAGATGAGGCATTGTCAACTTCTACTACAGATAGTTTGGCTGGAAGTAAAGAAAAGTTAGAGGAAGAAACAGTAAAATCTCGGTTACATGATAAATCAGAAATTAAGAAACCAGTCAGGTATGATGCCTCTGTATTCATAGCAACTGAAGAACCTGCCAATATAGAAGAGGCACTTTCTTCTGATTTGGCAGCAGAATGGAAACAAGCGATGGAGGAAGAAGTAGAATCTCTTCTTGAAAATCAAACCTAGAAACTGGTAGAAAGACCGCGTAGACGAAAACTGATTAAAAATCGTTAGATTTTTAAAATTATGGAAGATGGTCTGGGAAACGTCCGATATAAGATTGGTTGCCAAAGGCTACTCACAAAAAGAAGAGGTTGATTATGAAGAAAAATTTGCTCCTGTTGTATGATACAATAAGAACTGTTTTAGCTATTGCTGTTTCAGAGAATATCCATGTATCTCAATTTGAAGTTAAAAAAACCTTCTTGTATGGTAACCTGGAGGAAGAAATCTACATGGAGCAGCCTGAAGCATTCAAAAACAGAACGGACAGAGTTTGTAAACTTTCTACAAACCTTTATGGTCTGAAACAATCCTCCACATGTTGGAATAAAAAGTTTACAAAGTTTCTGAAAGAAACAAATTTACTTCAGAGTACTGTCGAGTCTTTCTTGTTCTGGACGAAAGCACCTGCTAAGCTTTTTAGTAACTCTGTACGTTAATGATGGGCTTGTTATTGGTGAAGATTTCAACGTAAATAAAGAATTCTTACAAAAATTAAAATCTCAGTTTAAGGTAACGATAACCTCAAATTTAAATAGTTATTTGGGAATACAAATTCACCAATTTGATAACAAGATTTTTGTCAATCGAGCTATTTACACGAGAAAGATTTTAAATAAATTTAGAATGGAAGATTGTAATGCGGTAGCGGTACCCCTTCTCCATTGGGTCAGTATATAGGGGAAGATGATCATAAGGACGATTACCTAGACCCAGTTTATCCCTTTAGATCAGCTATTGGTAGCTTGATGCACTTGTCGGTTGGAATCAGGCCAGATATAACTTTTGCAGTACATTTCTTAGCACAAGTTATGGCTAAACCGAAAAAACAGCACTGGAAAATGTTAAAACGCATTTTTAAGTATTTGAAGGGCACTATAAAATTTGGTATACTTTATCAAACCGATCAAGATTCTTTGAAAGCTTATAGTGATTCGGGACTATGCTGGAGACTTGAACACTAGAAAGTCCACATCAGGTTTTGTTTGTCTACTTCATGGTATTGTCTACTCAGTCAAGGAGCTGTCAGTTAATATTGTCACAAAAACAGAAATCATATCACTATCGACGATGGAAGCAGAGTATTTTGCGGGATCTGAAGCAGCATAAGAAAT